GGTGAAGATGCCAACTCACAGAAGCATAATTTTCCATTGATTTTCAGGTTTTGCTTTTGATTAATTATCATGGAGTTTGAAAATGCTCTCTCCATTTTGTCAATCTCTTGTCTTTGATGTGGCTTTAACATGTGAGAAATAATTTTTTTAAATTACATAACAGAGGGTTTCAAAAGTGATTGCTTATGGAGACTAGTGACCCAAGGCAAATGTACCTCTCTAATGCTTCATTACATAGAAGAGAATATATGTAGCTCAGGGTTGAACTGTGGAGCCTTTGGCGCTCTCTTAGCTTTGTTGTTTGCTTGTAGACTTTTCATTATCCAACTAGGTAACATTATCAGTCCTAGTGAGTGTGGGGTTTGCTCCCTGTTTATATACAGTAGCTTGCCCTACCAGTTTTGGTGGGGTTATGGTTTTCTCCTTGGTAGATCCTTGATTAGGGTATTGTTTTCTGACTGATTGTTTGTCTAGTATTAATCTTGGTTATCTGGGTGTTGGCTGCTGGAGAGGATGTGTTCTGGTCTTTTTGTTTCCTTCTTAGCTTTGTGTTGTCTCTTTTGAATGGTGTATAAATATGCTTTATTTCTATATATCTATTGATGGCTGATTTGTCTGAATGCCAAGCTTCTAGGAATTCCCTAGCATTTTTGGATTTAGCTTGGTCTAGGATGCTCACAGTTTCCCAGTTGAATCTATGGTTGAGTCTGTCTACGTGTTGTGAGATTAAGAAGTTCTCATCATGTCTTTTGACTGCTAGTTGGTGTTCATGGATGTGCACTGTTAATCTTCTGCCTGTCTGTCCTACATAATGGCTGTTACAGTCCTACCACTGCATGTTGTAGTTGACTCCTGTTTTTGCTTCTTGGGCTACTAGGTCTTTTGGTTTACTTAAGATGTTTTGGAGGGCTTTAGTTGGTTTGTGTGCTATGGTGATACCCTGTGGCTGTCATAGTCTGTTGTTTATTTCTGAGATGTTTTTGATGTATGATAGTGTTATCCTTTTCATAACTTGTGTTGGTTGTGCTGTAGTGGATTGAATGGTCAGGCAATTTTTGATAAAGTTGTGAGGGTATCCATTTTGTTGGAAGATATTGTATAGGCAGTCTATTTCCTTTTTCTGGTGTTCTAGGTTGCTGCAGTGAGTTTATATTCATCTGAAAAATGTTCTTACACTGTTCCTCTTATGGGAGGTCATTACGTACTGTAACAAATTTTGCCTGTAACATTGCATTTTCCAGCCTGATGCTCTCTGGTGCTTTTGTTTCTCCATCCAGATATAAATTGCCCTTTCCTAGCATAGTGTTTTCCAAACTTATCATGCTAAGGGGTGGCCGAGGATGATAGGAGTTATAGCCTAACATATCTAGAGGAAACCAGTTTGGGAAAGGCTTCTGTATTATTATAACAATGGTTCATACTAAATAATAGAGGGGGAGTAGGAAAATACTCAGAAACCACCAAGATTTATAAGTGTCTTTCCTTTTACAATTAATCAGAATAATAATAACAATTAATTATAGCTCACATGTACAAAACATTTCTCAGCCTTCCTTCCACACCTACATATATGATTCATTGTGACTTGGAAGGCATCATCCTACAATCCCACAGTAACAACCATGAATGCCGCATAAGGACAGGAAGTGAAGGCTCTCACTCTACCTAACTGAACCCTGGATGAAAGAAGAGTTCTGCCGATGACTTAAGCAGCTTTGATGTCCTACTTAAATTTAAATTGTCCATTCCCAGGCAAACCCACCACACGAGCCCCCAGAAAGACAAGGCTCATGCAATGGCTTCTAAAAGAAAAAGCAAGCATAATACCCTTCATCGATACTCTTGTGAAGTGCCACACTATGATTCACAAAGAGGACCACACCTTTTGAGTCATTGTTACTAAGTACTTCCTGCAACAACTTGGACTTCCCACTGGAACTTTCTGCTGCTTTCGACAGTCATCTTCAGTGAAGAAATAATTTGGTCTGATGGCGTTCAGATTGTAGGATGGAAGTTATCAGTTATGCACTGAACAACAGGTGGCTAGATAGTGAGGGAGACTTCCCTACTACCAAATGATGTATAATGTATCTGCAATACTGTGCTCTCCGCCTTATGTTCTTGGAAAGCAAGGTGGAATAATAACTGAAAACATACTTGCAACTAAACCTAAATAAGGTTAATAGCATTTACTAGCATTCATCCCTTAGCTTTCATCTCTTGATAAATTTGATTTTGAGATCATCTGTTAATTTATTTTGTAAAATACTCTCCTTCCTTCCTTCCTTCCTTCCTTCCTTCCTTCCTTCCTTCCTTCCTTCCTTCCT